GATGGCATTCCAGAAAATATTGGGTGATAATCTGCCATGATTATATTCTCATACATGTGTTCAATGTATCAGATCTCAATAAATAAGTTTTACAACACGAATTGATAAATGTTGAAAAGAAAATTAAAAAAAAATCACCGAAAATTGTAGAAGCAAATATTGGTAGAGATATTTGCCAAGCTATGGAAGTATTAGAACTAACCAAATTGGGACACATGATGAATGGAATTGTTGATACTGTGGGGCACAGTGAAACTGACAGTAGTGATTGATTGAAGTAATACCGACAAAAGACAGGATCTCTTTCAATTCACATGGTCTGGTAGCTTCTGTACAACACGGAGGACACGTAGCTATATGAATTAGTATTTGGTATGCGAGTTTAAAAGGCGGTCATCAAGACGCGTAATATTTTTACACAAAATATAAAATAAATAACCAATTTAACCAATTTAGTTTAGTTGTAGTTTATTTGTACTTTCCAAAACAGTGTGTGTGTGTGTGTGAAGGAGTATTAAAATTTAGAACATGTAATTTGAGGGGTCACATCTTAGGAGTATTTGATTTGAAAGGAATTAGGTGGTTCTGGTGGTATACACACCAATTGATTATCACTGGCCCATCCCTCTGGTTAATAACGAAATTACAATCAATCATTTTTGTTTAACTAATTGCCACAATATTTAAGTTCAAATTTAAGATAATGATACATTTCCCAAATTTCAGTGTTAACATTCCCATATGATATTCTTTTGCTGGTCCCAGTAACCAGCACATGCAAACACTTGTAGCAACGTGAGAAGCATGTCTTGTGACATGTGTTATGTCAATTTGTGCCCTCAATGTTCAACATCTTATGAGTGATTTATTCGTTTTTTCAGCAGGGCGAAATACATGATGTGATACAGCACTAATTATTGTCATTATAAAACGATTATGTCAAAATACGCCCTCATTAGCAGAGAGCATAGCAGTGATTCATTTGTCTTTATTGGAATACAAAATAGATAGATAGAACACTAATGATTATCGCATGGAGATTGTGTTAAACTACGCGCTCATTGACAGAAATCATAAGAGTGACTATTTTTTATTTATTTATTAAAGTACAATATACATACTGTTATACAACAGCAATGATTGTCATGAGAAGATTATGAGAAAGTACGCCCTCATTAAAGCGGGAGGGTCGTCACCTGCGCACGCGCGGGAATTGAGTCCCAAGCGACGATAACAACAGTTACTAAAAACACAAAGGCTCATGGGTAGACGCTTGTTTGTAAACAATGACACGCAGGTTACAGTACAAAATAGACGATGTAATACAGACTGCCGCTGGAGCCTACACAGAAAGACGGCCAACATATATAACCTATCTATGAGACCTACCTTTTCGAGCTGCTCGGTAACGACATAAATATATCAAATCATTTTTCTATAATATGGTCTTGTATTGTGATTGAGGCCCTCCATAGTTAAGATCCTGTTTTTTATTTCTCTTTCATTTTTTGACGCCGAGGACGCTATTACGTATGCCCGTTTGGCTGTATTCAAATGAATTCCATTATATTGTCAGTTGTATGATGAGTTATGCAGCATCAAAATAATCCTATGACTTATTTTCGAAAGCCGCTTACTGTATGGCTCACACTTTAATATTTTTGGCAGAACAGCCACTATGTGATTTTGAGTACTGGTCTGTGCCATTGTGTGGAAACAATAGCGGTTTCATTGTTCCTAGTTTGGAATATGCGAATTGATTTCTAATCTCTGTTCACTGTTGTACGGTAAAATAGTGTCACGTCGTGCCAGACGAGATGGGGAAATAATAACAGTATTTTAGGGAGTTCGGTAAGAGCTGTTACACATGTGACATTACTCAAAAACTTTTTTTTTATTAAATACTTTTGTAATTGATTTTAGGCATCTTTGTCTGTTTATTATGCATATAGTGCACCGATTAGCCACTGTCATACTGACTGAGAGTTACTTACAATGACCTGGATTTTTCTCGATGGATAGACCCTTCGCAACATTGAATGGCATATTTCTTGCGTACTCGAGAACGAATATATATCGTATGACTCCCTAGGCTGGTGACTCTTAGTTACTAACAGAGGCAGCGGAAGCTTTTCTTGACTGTGAAATCTAGACCCTCTGAAACGCTATTTCCTGCATTTGGGGAGCAAATTTTTATGGAACACTTAGGTATATTTCTCTTACAAATATAGATGAGTTTTTCACCTTATTTTATCGTGAGGGCGACCGCCCCACTGCCCCCACGGTGCCGCCGCCACTGACTGAAAGCCATAAATGTCATAATATCGTATACTATTTGACCATAAAATTCGAGAGGTCAATTCTCACGCACAAGTGAGCTTATACACGTAGACCTTTCCCCGATCCGTTTTTATTAGGTTTGAGACCTATATTCTTTGACACTTTTTTCATTGAAGATTATATATTACTTCCCATCTATTATCACTTTTTTCTTTGTATTATAATTGAACCTCCAGAAAATTATATTTATTTTACCAACAATGTAAAATCCTTATATTTTGTTCACTCAAAAGAATTAAGTTTCACCTTAATGACAATGAACTATCAAATTCATCTTTAGACGCAATTTCTTTTTTTTTCAAATCTTCATCCACCATCTGAGATTCGTGTGCAAAACTGTAGACAAAACAATGGTGCTGATTTACTTTATTATTAATTTTTTTAGTCACTTAAAGCCAGAACTGCCAGAAAATTATATTTCCCATAACTAACCCATTTCTGCAATTCTCACATATTGTGATTTAAAATTAGGATAGAACCAGTAGATCAATGTTCTTTATTGAATTATATATATAGACTGGTGCTGTGCATACCACATAATAATGATGCATTTGAATGACCTAATTATTCGTCCAAATTGTACAGGTTATCAAAACAATTTTCTCAAGATTTGAGCTCATTTTGTTAAAACTTCTACATAATAAACAAGATTGTACATATTAGAAAAATTAATATTGATTAAAAACTTCTTAAGAGCATGCATTTCATCTACAATAAAGCTGTTTGAGTGATCTTTGACCAAGAATATTTTTAAACGAAAAACATAAACATGTTATGAATGAAGCAAAATTAATCATAAATCCCAAATTAAACAAAGTTCTGTTACACACACGGTTGGACATTTTAATTTTAATTTTAATCAATGACATGGAAATCACATTTTAACGTTTAGTGATGCGCATGCGCAAGTTCCGTGAATGTCGCAATGGTTATATGATAACTAGCATTGTTTCACCTCAGTGTGTACATGGCTGAGAAGTTTGCTGACACATCTAAATACTCGTCCAGTTTGTTTACTTTCTTTGTTCCATTACTTCTGTTATCCAATAGCTATAGGTTTTTTCACACCTGTATCGTGTTTGCATGTTTCAGGCAACCAGTTGTATCAACTCTAAGCCTTTAGAAGCAGTGATTTAGTCTTGTCAGTTCTTGCGATTTCCTTTATAGAGACAGAAGAAGATTAACGCAATTGATACATCTCGGAAAACATTATATATAAATATTGATACAATTACGTGTGAGCAAAAGCATTGTATTTGGAATATTATATAAAAAGTCTTGGCTTCGCACATATTACATTGGTTAAAATGCACATATATCGTTTTCAGGTGGCCAGGGAGTTTACCAATTAATTCTGGTCCGTATGATGTGAAATTTCCGGGTGTTTTTTATACTGTTGATTTGTTTTTACACAGAGACGTCATAAGTGTCAATTGATTATATTGCATTCTCCTTGCAAAATTTCTATATGCGCGAGCAACACATTAATATCAAAAAAGTAAACAAACAGCCGGCATTGTACGAATGATTTTTAGGAGATATTCAATTTCGGACTTACGTGACCAACTGAAGAACGCAATCAAAGCGGTTGTGATACTTGTGACATTGAAGAAAGCGAGTAATGTTTCCTAAAAATTATACTCGAGTATGCAGATTCCGTCATCATATTTGAAAAGCGAATTATAATTGTGAATATTGTTGTACAATGCTGGATATTTTTATACATCTGTCACCGTAACGCCATAAGTTACAGCGTGTCGTAATTTTGCGGTATTTTAAATATGGAATGATTAATAATAAAAACAAACATGGTTGCCACCAGAGTTTGACCGGACTCAATACAAATAAGTTCACTGATTCTGTTCTAAACCTTTTAGATTTTGGCATTCCCATGATGTATCCTTGGAAGGAAAAGATGTATAATAATAAGGTTATTACGATGATATCTCAAGGTATGCACTCGAACAGTACGCCGTCACAATTTATGTGAATATTACGGACAATACACGATTTGAAATACTCTCTATATTTTTGCATATCCTTTGTTTTTATGTGACTAAATGAAACCACAGAAGATGTAGTGTGTCCAACAATACATTTATAAGCAATAACGTTAACAAATATAATTATACTTCAAAAAATTCACAATATCCAAAAAAAAAAATAAAAATAAAAAGCCTCAAAACATTAAAATATTATAACATGTGAATTATTGTTATCAGTTACCTTGTCTACTCAATAACATAATTTTTATGGATACTTACCTATTTAGACAAGTAAATTGTTAATATTAATTCTTATTATTGACGCCATGAGCTGTGTAATTTGTGCACCAAATCAACCGGATCTACGAATAAGTGATATCACATGACCTACTCTGATTTTCCTGATTTTTAACCAATTAAATATGCTAACTATGTTCTTTCATTTCGAAGAGCAAATGTTTATTCAATATCTTGTATACTGTGCTGCACGATCGAAGCTTTTGCCCGATAATGCACAATGTGTTCAGAGTATGTTTGTAATGTCGAACGAACTAACTGAAGTATACGTGTTTAAATTACAGGCGCCCTGGATATACCCCCCAATACTTTATAGAACATGTTTCAAATGATAACATGCAGGCAGGGGATATTTTTCACAAAAGAAAATAGAAATATCGTAAATAATCAACAATGTAAATAGATTGGTACTGTAATTACATTTCTTTTGGTTTACCTGACTGGGCACACCATAGGCTGAAATGGGATCGAAAACAAAAACAAATGAGCAACTGTTAAAACCTGTTCTCCCGTTTTATGGTAAGGGTCTGTGCTGACAAATAAATGGTTCATCGAATAAAGTATTCTTCATATTACCATTACCTTGGACATTTCGTTTGTCTCTAAGCTGGTCTAGAAAAGTATTCATGTTTAAACCATTTGCTGTTCTCTGGTCAGTCGCGAAAATGTTGACTTTGTTCTTGAGATTGTTTACTTCATCCTGTGGGGGGAAACAAACAAATCCTAAATACATATATCCTCATGATTTCAAAAGGGTAATGGCTAATAATTAGTGAATGGAACGGTGTGAGTGTAGAGCAGAGTTCTCACACACAAGACGTTCTGAGATACGACAGTATTTAACAATAGCAAAAACAGTTGCGACACAAAAGATAACTCTTTTTGTTACGACAAAACTAAATTATTATGTGAAAGCGAATTAACACTATTATATTAACACTATTATATATCCTAGCGGACTACAGTCTCCCATACCTATTTTGCTTATATTTCTTTAGAAGTGACAAGTGTTTGCATGGAAATTGTACGCATATAGGCATGTATGGGGCGATGGCGTTGGGTGACGTCCCACATCTTTGAACAAGGCTATAAAATGAAGAAAGAATAGTGCACGCACACACATGAAACCAGCAAATGGTTATCCAACAAAAAGTATTTCCGTGAAATAGTTCAAACGGAATATTGTTCCCAGGGTTTATTCTTTACGATGTACATAGTAACTCACCTGCAATATTGCGACTGTATTTTGTAACTGAATATTAAACAGTTCCTCCTGTTTGTCTAAGACCGGCTGTATTTCATTCATTGTAAACGATGAACTTCCCCCTTCCTCATCGTAGCTATAATCACTACTACTTATATCATAGATGATCGACCATATATCCGACGAATACGAGGACGAATACACCGGTGAGGAAGACACAGACATGACACCGAATATCACAGCGAACCCGATGGCCATGAGAAAATGCATGTTCAAGCAGCAATGAGAAAGTGTTAAAATGAACAAAACTTTTTGTTATACTAGTATCAGACACTTGCGATATTCCTGAAATGCACACTAGGATCTAAATGACATGACTTAAACCGACTGGCCTACACTGGGTTTAAGATTTCCGATTTACGTGATGCCAAACAAATGAACATAATTGTTGATTTTTGAAATGAGTAGACACGTAAATATCATGATTTATATATATATATTGACTTCAAAATACATGGAATTCAGTAATGACGTCACTTGTTTTAACCTCTAACTTGTTATATTGTTTTAGTCATTGTTGAATTTTTATTTTTACGGGGGAAGACTAGCACAGAACTCAGACGTTTTGAAACCAGTTTGATCTGGAAAGATGCGTTATTTCCTCCTTTGTACTAATAACGGTTAATTGATATTCACCATGTTTAATGAACATCTATCACCGCCCACATTGTTACTGCGTTACATAATATGATTACTCGTGATACTTTATATGGTGGGTGTCGTATGTGAAACAGGATGTAGCCACACTAATGCAAACAATTACTGGTTGTTATCTGACCATCTAATACGTATTGTCAGTAGTTCCTTGTTTTATTTGTTTTTGCATTGAATGACGTGTAATTCCACTCCATTAAAATGATGATTATAGGTTTCGATTGAGTAAGATGCTGTGTGTACTGTACAATTGTATTCTCATATTCGGAACTTTACACGCTTGAGGGTCACTTATGTTCTTTTCGCTGTGTAAACAAATCAAAACAAATACAAACAAATCGCCACAATTCGAATAAAACGCCCAGCGTTAGTATACGACAGTAGGCCGGGACAGTTCCTGCTGGGGGTTGTTGTGGTGCTGAAAAAGATGTTTGGATAAAAAAGGCCATGAAAACTCCCCGGGAAAACTCAAGTTCATTTCTTTAATCCCGCTCATGTTATTGCTGTTTACAGATGGATATTGCCATGACGTCAGACTAGGCCGAGAATACTAACCGTAGATTTTGTTACCACTATAACGATTCATTCAATCAAACCTGGTAATTGTGTCTTTTTTTCTTTTAAAGATGTTACTTTCAGATGAGGTGACACTATTTAATGGTGCTCGACTGTTAATCACTGTTACAAAATCTTAAATACTTCAAATACATTTCTAAGGCGTGCTAGATAAACATGCGATCGGCATATGGCTGCAAGTTTTGGCGCGATCACGTGATTACCAGGGTAGTGTATCAAATGAGAAATCATTGTGGTGTTACCACTACGGAGTTAGTATAGTGTTTGTTAAATTCCTGAAAGACATGTTTATAAAATCTATTTTAAATATGCATATGGTTGATCCTAAATGAACCTGCAACGTCGTGGGAACTCAACGTGTTTACGTGATGTCGCTATGGTAACAATGGTAAGGACGATTTTCACACAAAAGGAAGGGGTGTCCAGGGAGACCATGGTTCAATTCCATGTCTATCAATTGTTAATGCTAAGGAGCAGTTCATGGTATTTTGAATATACCTATACATCTGAGAAACTTAATGTTGGTTCAACAGTGCATACTGGGAGATAGTTTTGCCGAGCATAGGCGATATACATCGCGTGAATTTTCCCCGCACACCTCGATCCCGAGACGTAATATTGCAATATGGGAGACATGTTTTAGGTTAAATTTGTCATATCATTAACGGGAGCTAAGCTCACAAGGAATAATCCGTGTGACGTCCTTTTCTTGGACATTCGGTTAATTCATATTTCACAGTGCTTGGACCTTTTAAATTTTCATCTTTGTTTTATCGACAATTGTTTGATTAATAACCTAGGGAGCAAAGTGTTGTCATTCCATATTTGTATGTTTTGCCCTCACCAAGGACGCCACCAAATGCCGAGTTTTGGAAAATATTTCGCTATGACGCTGCCATTATTGCGTATGACACGATCCGAATGTTTATTTATGGGGCGGCGGTCTGTTCGGTATGGGACTCATCGCGACGAACATCGCCCTTTCAATAACTCTACATCCATCAGACGAGTTGCGGCATGTTAAATCCCTGTTTATGCAATGGCGTGCAAAGTGGAGTACTATCATGGGTAAATTCTTATCCTCTAGGGTTCTCCACACTTGTCGGGGGGAATCTCGTCTCGTCTCTATATCGCGTCCCCTCGAGGTACGGGATCGGGGAAGTCACTTAAGCCTTACAGTCAAATAAGACACACACAACGAAATACGTTTCAACTCTCGTCTTAGTCGATCAGTCGAGCACTCTATAAGACACAGCGCCCTGGGGAAAAATCCCCAAGACTATCGCAAGGCTGACCCAAGACTAGCCCAAGACTGGACTGCCTCAAGGCTCGCCCCAAGACTCTCCAGGACTGGACTCTCCAGGACTGGACTACTTTATCGTGGTGTACTCGCCAAGACCAACTCAAACTATCTTTATTCATTTTCAAAACATCAACCAATTACAAAGCAGTATAAAGACTTTAGGGCGTAACCTTCAATCATAAAGCCAATCACACTAAGTACTGAATACGTCATATCTTTGGATTAATCGTTCACTACATTAATAACTACGGATGTCAGAATAGCGACGGTATCTTGTAATTAGTTCCAAATTACTGAGCCAAGTTCCGTCCAAAACTCCATATGGCCTAAACGGTGCCAGACATAACACATCCATTCATTTAATTAAGTCGATTAACAGATACGCAAAAACACATTCATCATAGTACTGTGATAACTTACTCGAACTGGTGTATGAGCTTATCGCCCTAAAGTATCTTTCTGAAAATTTCTTCAACATATCAAAATGTCCTGCTGACGATTCCAGAACAAATAAAGCAATGGCGTTAATTTGTATACTATGCAGTCCCTTTCACGTCCATATTGAACAGTAGTAACGCCTGAACAAAATGAAAATTGTGCAAGTAGTCAGTCTTCCATGTCACACACTGTAATTCATAGAAATGTAAAGAGCTGGAATTGAGTTGACGACTCGGCGCTACAGACGAGTTAGTTAGTAATATAACTGAGCTATCTGTGAAAATCCTTTGGGTCGAATCAAACACTACACATTGAAAGGTTTGCCTGCCAAGCGAGACTTTGAGTCAGAGTCCCGCGACGTGTATTAGTACGCATTCCATTCGAAGCATTTTCAATTGGTAAGAGAAAAAAACGTCATCGGAATATTGTCTGAGAAATTTGTACTATATATGCAAATACTTCGTATACATGTAGCGTCTTTTCCAATGTTACAGTGTATGTTTTATTTTACTGCCTTCCAATTACTGCATGTTTGAAATCGAGACCCTCTGAAACGCTACTACAAATTGACCTGACATACATAACATAATATAACACAAAGAGTTTCAGCTTGATTTGTCACTGTATGGGCACTACATAATTACGACTCCTGGTTAGATTTCATATTCTAGGGGTCGGAGCTACGTCACAGAACGTCTTACGTTGCAAAGACGAGCACCACTGTAGCAAGTACTTTAATATTGGTCTGCGCGACGCCGGTCGAAGGCCCGGTGAAAATAGATGGAACAGTCACAAACTCAACTTTGAAGTAATCCTGAGCAACCAAATTTATACATGTTACACATGTAGAGATACACTGTTCAGGGGATTCTCAACAACTATCTCAAAGTATAGTTTTCTGACTGTTTTTGGACTTGCCAGGCAGTGAAAATGCCCGGATGTCCGTCCGGTTGTGTATTTGGTTAGACATCATACAGTACCGTACTGTACTGCGCATCGAGTGCCGTTATTGAATTACGCACAAATGAATCGTAACACAATGTAATGGTGTAAAAGAAGTAATATATTTGGACAACAACATTCTAAACTACAGTTTACAATATGAAAACTATTAAACTATTTCTTTTCTATTGTGTCAATACTGTAACCAACGTCACCGACGATCGAGGAGTTAACGACCACCGTAATAGTGTGAGCCAGTGGCGGTTCCCGAGTAAGTCGAGTCAAGGGTTGTCTGAAGATGACCCAACGATATAGCGTCTTTGATAACGTCAACATCACGGCGCGAATGATTGGATGATATTTCGCCAAGACAACGACCGACTTTGTTATTATACAGATCCATCAGTCGTTCAGACAGAACATTGACGCTTGAAACTTCGTGTGCATCCCCGAACTGCTTGGCTGTATAGCTTCCGTACCTCTTTGTTACTCGGTACATCCACAGGGCATGACGGAAGGCATCGCCTTGCCCGTTGTGCAGACCTAAATGAAGAAAGATGACAGATTTAGTACACAACTCTTAGGCCTGTCTGTGCTAAGTATAAGTAGATCCATACATCAACAGTATATGAACTGAATTGACACGTACTTGTACTATGGTGTAGGAATATCGGATGACACTCAGTGATACGTATGAAATCAACTCTCGATTTATCGCATAAATGTTAACATTAATGAATGGACAAAAAAGGCCGCCGAGTTCTCTCAAGTAGCGTTCCAATTCGCTCCGTCATCGAGTTAACTGTTCAAAATACTATGGTTATTGGAGAAGGAATTACTACATGTATTTGAGAGATCAAAACAAGTCTCGTGGCACTCACGTTCCTCACGAGATCTCGACGGCCATATGTTCCTCAGGTCTAGGTGCTACTTACTATTTGGAAATTCACGTTGAGCATCGGCTTTGCTATCGTCAGCCATGTCTCTTATAGCAAACACCTTGAAAATATTTTGAAGAGATACTCTCCACTCTCCGGGACCATTTGGGTCGAATCCAAGCCAAGAGTATGCGCCAGTCTCAGATAGATCGCTAGGTAAGCTCTGGCAACCTACACACAAGAACAAATAACTTTGGAGTTTACTATATGATGCTGGGAACCACTACTAGGATTAACAACTCCAGATTTTATCGTAAGTTTCACATTTTACCCAAAAATAGCAGCTGTAAATTTGAAATGTATGAACATAGTATATAATAGAAAATGGAAAAACACTAATACGCATGTGCAATGATTGGTATTGTACGTACCACAACAACAAGTGTACATGCGTATTAGAGAATTTTATTCTTTCATCGAACAAATGCTCGGATGTTTGCTACAACATTCACGATGACAGTATCAACATACAGAAACAAACCACATTATAAAAAAAATGATGTTTTCTTCAATATTGCATTATATAAATGGCGAAAATATGCACCAAAGTCTCGGTAAGAATATTACAATTTGTTTTGTTTTTTGATTGGTTTAATTGTAGTGATTACATTGAATTTCACTACAAACTCGTGTATGCAATCTTATCTTGTTTAAATATTTTAAAAACGTTCAACCTTGAAGACTCTCGCGTTGCATTCAAATAATACACTCTCATTGGCTATATAGGACATTTGGTAACGTCAGTTACCGACGAGTCATCGTGGGATTCCTTCAATCGATTTGCTTCCATACATCCATTGTTGTGCTGTGATTTGTCAAAATGTTTTTCAACCGTTATTTTAAATTTGTAAAACATTTTATATAAAAATAACTCTCATGCGCGGGAATTGAGTTCCAAGCGACGATAACAACACACGCTAAAACGCAAAGGCCCATGGGTAGACGCTTGTTTGTAAACACGTTATTGCCACCTGACGCATGCGCAGGTGACGATTATCCTGCTTTAAACTTCAACTTATAGTTGTACTACCGGTGTACTTTGGTTAATAAAATTCATTGTTATAAATTATTGCGATGTGACGTCGTACAACGAATTTTTCGACGTCATCTGACAGTGCAATAAAATTCCAAAGAAATCGGAAACCTTACGATTGACAAGAACGTTTCATTTTGTTTCTTCAAATTGACGCACTGTTCTGAATGTTCACTCGTTACACATAGTTTATGCACATGTAGAGAGAAAATCTGAGCATGAGTGAATAGTGTAGCGTGTGTGACTCGCAAAAGCAAAACAAACAAACAAACAAATTAAAAACAAACAAAACAAAAAAACATGCACTCGGGCTTTTTTTCCCACTATGACGTTGGGGCATATTTTCGGCATTATTATGGAAATTCAATTCGTTTTAGGAATATACATTCCATAAGCAGACTATTTTCTCTGCAGTATAAATCAAACTACAGTCTACCCAGCATTCTAAACATGCGATATTATCCGGGGTTATTGATCTAATTTACACATGCGCATACAAATAGCAATACAAAACTATGATTTTTGGAAATGTCGCCTAACGTAAACAATCATTTAGATCTGCACTCATCCTTCAACGCAGATTGTACTGTCACAGTCGTGTAGATGACCAATGAGCCCAAAAAGTTGTCGCTTCGAGCGAAAATATTTTCACCTACATATGTTAGAAGCGCTCCGTCACTATAAGTTACTTGATATGAACAGTGTATTCTGCCTGGCTATGAAACAAATAATTGAACATTAATTGCAAATTGATTTATGCGTTTGGCAATTGTTGCAGCAGTTGTTCAAGAGAACATAAATGTGCGAGAATTACATAATTAGTATTAAGGGTATGCGTACATTCATGAAAGACATCATGATGCGGAACTGAACAGATCAAGCATATGGTCACGTGACGAAAACCACTCACCGCATGTACTGCATCGTCTACTTCTTATCCCGAAAGCGTCTTCGGCATACTTCGAATCCTCTGTTGTTTCTTGTTCGACTGGGTACTGATTAGTTAAATTAAATGAAATGAGACAAAATGAAATTAATTTTGGTAAAATAAACAGTTATTATTTAACTCTACAATATTGTTCTTGGAATACACATTATTATAAAACAAAAGTGAGTGCACTAAGCGACCACATACTCCGTTAAATACATTATGTTATCGTTTAACTACTGACCTTTGTAGATAAAAATTCAGCCTGTATTTCTGGTAAGATATCTTCAAACGTTTTCAAAAGTTCTAGAAATTCTCGCTGGAATTCTGCCTTTCTTTCCTTTGTAGTGAAGTAATCATTGGGTAAGCCCGTATTTGTCTCAAGGCTTCTTCCACTCACCACTACGCAGACGCAAACAGCTAACACAAGGCTGAACATTGCAGACAGAGAATTGTGCTTCACAAAGAATTGAGAGAACAACTATGCTGCTTCAAAATTAGTTTGCCGTATTTATAGATTAAACTTGAAGGTCATCTTATCCTCTGGGACGGATGTAAGGTTATTTTTTTCAGAACAACATGTAATTCGCAGAATGTTCTCCAAAAATTCTTAGAAATTCTGCGAGTACATCCGCAAAAATATAAACTTGATTATAATACCATAAGCTCGGTACCAGTGCTGTCCTGTTATAAAACAATAACTGCATATTTATTAAGGTTAATGCACAAACATACAAACAAGCTTAAGACTGTGTTTACCACATTTGTTCGAATTGTTTAATAAACATCTATCCCTACTAGCGTGTTTTGCACGTCGTACACTC